CAAACTAGTGTGATTAAGGCCCATTAGAACAGACTGAAACGGCGCTCCATAAAGCAGGACCAATGCCGTCTCGACCAAAAGGGGTCAACATAGACAACATTCAATACCGTATTTGGCCTGTTTTAGACAGCGTTAGCCAAAGGTGAAAGTGTTAAATCTGTAAAATTCCAAGCTGAATAATCAGATTTGGTGTGGCTGTTGTAAGAACAGTGACATATGTGCCAGAATTGGCATTTCTAAATATTCAAGATAATCTTGCTCTCTTTAGAGGTGTAATATTGACTACGAGTTCGATCGCTCGGCCAGGCCCGTCATTTCACCTGATCCCTATCGGCTTCATCCATTCGCCCCTTCAGGAACTACTCCATGAACCAGTTTCTACGGTACTTCGAAGGTCCATATCAGAAGGAACACTATCGGGGAATAGAATGTTCTCCTCATCCTCCTGACCTACTGAGAAGGATCTAAACTGCAGCTGTGAGCATATATTCCCACGTTGGACGACGCTATAGAATGCTTCAGTGAAGCACTTATTTGCGTAGTTGGAGCAGAATACCGTGCCATTCACTGCCCGTCATGCTTATCTCCGACGTAGCCCTTATCTTAATCGCGCTCATGATTTGTAAGAGAAAATATAATCCCATTTATAGGCTACAGTCCATCTCGAAAATTTACAGCGCATTTTGGCAACTGATAATTATGGCCGTCATCCAAGTTTCAAACTAGAAAAACCGACTTCTATTCTGCAAGCCACGTTTCTGCAGCTCTATAATTTATAGGCCGCCACAAAATTGAATCCACTGTCACCAATATCCGTGGTGATCTCATGATCGGATTTATGTTACCACACTTTAAAACAACTGTTGTTATATGAAATTTGCATATTAGTGCTGAACTTTATGGTGGACAATTCTGAGTGTGATTGTAAGCGACATTCTGAGGCGGCTCATTATTACGTATTCCGCGTCTGATTACTTATAACATTTAAATCGTTAGAGGTTTCTAACAACTGCGTCCTAAATAACCCACGATCATTCCCTCGCCGTGGAGTGAATGAATATCGTCGATTATTCAATATACTGTTTACTTCCACGGGGATTTATAAGAGAGCAGGACATCTTAACGTAACGGTTGTTTTATTCCCAACTTCAGCAGTTGGTGGCTGGCACCCCTGTGACTTCCCAGCACCCCATACTTAGAAACATATTAACGGCTCTAGAAATTACCACTACCTTTGCCGCTTAAGGAGGCTATTTTGAGCGCATTTCTATAACTGGTAATTGTGACAAATATCTAATTTGATAACTACAAATGCCCCTTCTATGCTTACAAGCTACGTTTCCATAGTTCAATAATTTATAGGCTGCGATAAAATTAAAGCCATGCCATGGGCACTCGTGAATGTGATTATAGATGACCTTCTGAGAGGATTCATAATCATCCAGTAATCGCCAGACAAAATGCCTATGGAAGTCAAAGCTCACAGAATGCAGACAAGTAAACGAATTCATGAAAGGAAATTCTGGAATACAAATAAACGTCTCCAGCAGGATTCTTCTCCCTTTGCCATTTTCCGAATTATTCATGCCGTTATCAGCAGGACTTTTCGAATTATAGAAATGCGTGTATGTTTAGAATTGGTAAATGTTAGATGGAACACCCATTTCATGTCAATTACCTAACCCTGAATAGTATTTACAAAAAACTGTTTCATACGACACTGGCATATCTGCTCAATACTTCCTTCTGGATAGTTTATGATTGCTTCTTTTTTCCAATTTTTCATTTTACGAAGAAGATGGATCTTGAATAACCTACAAACCTATAGTCTCATCATTACCAAACCACATCGGCCAGGTGCCCCGCCAACACCGTGCGTTAATTCATATTCCAACTCGCCTAACTCGTAAGACGTGCCTATTTTGGTCTGATTTTTGTCCTTTAGAAACGGCAGGACAACATTTCGTGATGCGGAAAGCGAACAGTTTAAGTAATACAGAGAGAACACAACTGGAGACAGACCTTATGAACCAATTAACACGCAGCGCCGGATCACAAATTTACCTCTTCACACATAAAGGCAAACATCATCGTAAAGTCTTGAACGAAAAGAGGCAGATGGCAACGAAGTGCTTTACTTTCCTTAGGAGTTACAAATCGCAAACCTAACAGAGGAATGAATTTTTTAAAAGAAAAACAAAAATAATGGCACGCTTTTTAATTTCCCCAATCATTAATGCGCAAAAATTAATCAAATGCCTCCGGGCAAACCTTATCCAGTCGAAATGTTGGTGTGAGTAGATGGGCTGAAACTCATCAGCCTTTGTGGGATAACCATGAAATATTGACAATCTGCTAACGGGCAGTCAGTTAAGCATAAATGGTGCAAGATTGATCGATAGGCTCGTCGTTTAATATTTACAAAACCTTTGGGTCCGAGCTTGAAACGTCCTTACCTGAGTACTGTAGAACAATTTCGCGCACTGGAATTGAGGGAAATCAAAATGCAAAAAGCTAAAGAAGACGTTATACTTGAAATGTCTTGGAAAATTAAAAGAGAAATAACAAACTAACTTCTCGGTAAATTAAAATGCCATTTGGGAAAACCAAACTTTGTAACAGAAATTGCATTAAAAACGCTGTCATACCAACTGATGCACCGAATCGCTTGCGGAGGTGTTACACAAAGGCAGGAAATCGGCTAAGTGCCGGTCTATAACAGTGGCGGCGGTTAGCCGCGTTGGAACATTGGAGTTTAGTCGTCGTCACCGTTAGTGGCGTTCCTGGACTTGCACCTGGACGTTGCAGTCGTTTTCGGCGACAGTCAACCTTTGTTTATTTTCATTTATTTTATTGAGTCTGTAGCTGCCTTTTCTCTGCCCATTCGTTCTACTGTATACGCTCCACGGCTGCGCACGCTAAACCTCGGCCTTTCTTGCTGCAATCCCGTCCACACTACACTCCTGGTCGATCAACTGCCACTACTCTCGCGTGCTCTCGAAGCCAATCAACGCGACCTCTTTCGCTGATTGGTTACAAGTGCACACACGCGACGCCGCCATTGCGGACGTGACTTTTAACAAAGGCAGAAAAATACAACTTTTTGGTGCTGGCAACACACAGAAGGAACCGCAACTGACGCACTCCTAAACGGACGCTTATCTCTGTCACAAGCATACAGCCAACTTACGGCGACTTGCCCTGTGTACAGAATAAACCTGTCCCCACAACTTTCTGACTTCTGTTACTAGTCGGAGCAACATTAGTGTATGTGGTTTAAGTTGATATTGCACCCTTGACCACTACAGGTGCTAAGATTGTCGACGAGGATGATCTGCGCACGGAATGACTGTAAACAGCGTGGAAACGATCAAAGTACTCGAGTGTTCGGATGGAAGGTCCGTTTGTCTTCGTAGATTATTTCTCTAAGCCTCACTGCCTTTCTCCAACCCAGCCTACCTTAGACAAGGTACTCCCAGGTCTCGGAGTTTATTTGAACGTCCATGAGCGAGGTCTGTCGGTCGACCGTTTGGCGTCGTTTTTCTCTCCCTGTGACGGTGTCGCTGTAGAATAATCGCTGGGGTTGACGCTCGACATTCATCCTCGCGAGATGACCGCTCCAATGCAGTTGAAGTTCCCTCAACATGTTCCATTCTAGGACTTCTGTATCCGAGATTCTGTGCTGCAACCTCAGATTTCATATCCTTCGAAGACAGCTGAGGTAGTATTCTTCAAGACTCCTGGATTGGTTGGCGTAGACGATCCATGTCTCCACCCCGTTGTCAGAACAATCGTCCTGCACATCCCGATTTTGCTATTCAGGTGAAGTCCTTGACAATTCCAAGCTGAGGCCTGTAGCCGGTGGAATGCCTGGCTGCCTTGGAAACTCAATGTGTAACATTGTCTTCTAATCTGACTTTCCGAAAGATTGTGCAGCCTAGATATCCGACTTTGCCCACAATGGTGGGCTAAGTTTTACTTACAGTGGCGTGGGCTTCTCTGTAATTTGTGTCTTGCGCCGGCAGATGCACGAACATCGTCTCCTCCCTGTTGATATCCGCTCCCTAAGGAAGCCGGAGACGAAGAGGTCTCTGCACGCTTAATTTCTCCAGATAAGGGTTATAAATTATCCTAAGTGAACATCAGATTAATTAAGATGGGCTCAGGCTTACTTTTAAACAAGTTTTCAATAGTACGTATAAGGCTGTTGGACATTTGACATAGAGTATGCGTAAGACTTGGATGTTTCTGTGGGTTTGGTGAAGTACCGCGTTTCCAAGTGATCTTTAAAGCCTCCTAAACACAGTAAATGCTGAATGTTATTACCGACAAAGACAAAGGAGACTGGAATGGCCATTTCTGGCTTATAAGCCGTCGTCAGCAAGTCATACCCAACTCCGAATATACGTCACTGTAAGATCTCGTGGGAGTTGTGTTGATCGCCCTCCACAAAACAGAGCCGATACGAATTACCTTTATATACACAGATTATTTCGAAAAGAGGATTTTAACTTAAAAGTGTATGAGGATTAGCGCAGTGCAATCAAAACTGTGGCTTCGAATGTACCTTAGCACGAACCAGGAAAAATCCTTCACATTTCCATCTTTAAAGTTTCGCAAAGAACTTTCTTCATTCCCGATATTTATGATTCAGTTAACTGTGATATGATCGATTCGCCTGTCGCAAATAGTATCGCTCTCACGAACTAACGAGCTATATCTCACGAGCCCCTAGCCTTAAAGGCAGCAAGTAAATCGGAGCAGTGAATAATATAGAGATTTTTGAACGATAAGAGAACTGACAACAGAATACCACAGCAGAGCACGCTAGCAAGGCGGGTTGTGCAGGTGTGTCGTTTCTCGTCACATTCAAACAAGCAATGCGGTAAAAGAAAATGGGAATAAATTGTCAAAGGTAAATTAGTCCGGTACCTCACCGCAGTACCCCCACTCCTAGACCGGAGGGCGACGTAATACGGCGCCGGGAGATATGCGTAAGTCTAGAAAAAATGCGTAACTAAACGATCGGGGAAATGAACGTGACGGCCACTGCGAGTGATGTAAGCAGGAGGTAGAGTCGAAGAGAGTTGACTGCGTGCTGTGGTGGACGATGATGTTGCAGTTAGATGCTGTAGACATGTAGGGAGAGGAAGTATGCGGTACGGAGGGGTAGAGGGCAAGGGAGGGGAAGAGTGAGGCAGTGGGCAGGGTGAATGAGCAGGGGATAGGGAAGATGGAGACACAGGGGTTAGGGGGTCTGCACATTTTTGTCCTTGTGGCAGGTCCGGCTGCTCCTCTGCAGCCTTGACCCGATCGACACTGACCACGTCCTCCTTGTCACCGCGAATAATCCGGCAGGTCTTGGCGTTGCGCGCTAGCACGCGGAACGGTCCTTCGTATGGTGATTCCAGCGGCTGGTGCACACGGTCGCACCGGACGAACACATGCGTATACTTGTCCAAGTCTTTTTCGACATAAGACTCACTCATTGGAGTTCGAGGTGGAACCTGAGAAAGCGAGAGCATAAATTGCCGCAAACGGTGCACTAGATTGTCAGGAGTCTCGTCGGTTCCACGAGAGGTGGGGGTGATCATCTCGCCTGGCAGTTGGAGGGTAGTGCCGAAAACTAATTCAGATGCGTTACAACACAGATCCGACTTCAGAGCTGCGCGGATGCCGAGGAGTGCAAGAGGAAGTTTGTCCGACCAGTTTCCTGGGTCTTCTACGGCACGCAGGGCGGTATTTAGCTGGCGATGGAAACACCAGCCATACCGTTGGCAGCTGGATGGTAGGCTGCCGTCCGAATGCGTGTGCAGCCAAGGAAATTGAGTAGCGTCTGGAAGAGTGCCTACTCAAACTGGGCACCACGATCTGTCGTAACCGTGTATGGGACACCGAACATGGCGACCCAACGACTGAAGAAGGCCTTCACGATGGTTTCAGCCTGCACATTCGGCAAAGGAATAGCTTCAGCCCAGCGGGTGTACCGATCGACACAGGTGGGTGAAACCATTGGATGGAGGAAAGGGGCCCACGACATCCAGGTGCACATGGCTGAAGCGTGCGTCGGGGCTGGGTAAAGTGCCTGGTTGGGACTTGTTGTGACGATGCACCTTGTTGCGCTGGCAGCTCAACACGACACGGCCCAAGCTGTGACGTCCATATTCATGCCAGGCCAGACAAACCCTTCAGCGAGGAGCTTTTGAGAGGCTCGGATCCCGGGGTGGGAAAGTCCACGCAAAGTTTGAGATACAGCTCGACGCATCGAGGTGGGCACGAAAGGCCGATGAAAGGGAGTTGAGACGTCATTGTAATACTCGGGCCACTCGGGGTATGGTCTTGTCTTCTTCTCCTACTAGGCGACAGTCCGTATAGGCTTCCTTGGTGCTCCTACCTGGTCGAGAGTCTCCTCGGCGGGAACCCTGAAAATTAGCGCGAATTGAGTTCATCATCTGCATGAGCAAGCGTACGAAGATAGTATAGGTTGACGATGGAAAAAGTTTATTAAAAGGTATATATCAGCTGAGGTAATTAGTCCTGTTCCGTTCTCTCGCCGTCTTCTTCTTTACGGGCGGTCCCTCGACTAGCCCCCTTACTCTCTTCCACGGCGGTCACTAAAAAAGGCACGTTCGGAACACAAATCAGTCAAAACGGTACAGGAAAGTCATGGCCAGGAAACATTAAAGCAACAAGGTCAGTACGTCCTTCTACACGCCCCCCTCTCAAGAGGCGGCTCTGTCCTCAGAGGCGCTGCCTGGGAGGGACCGCTGGTGATTACCACCTCATCGTGAGTCGGAAGGAGGGAAGGATGGGTAGGGAGTCGGCGGTCGCGTTGGGTAGCTGGCCCCTATAAGGCTTGAGCTTGTCATAGTGGACAGTAAGGACGGGGTCTCCGGCCGACTGCGCGTCACGCATGGTGTAAGTAGAAGTGGGAAAGAAGTCAATGACGACGAAGGGACCCTCCCACGGATGGAAGAACTTTGACGAAGTCCCCACCGCTGGAGTGGGTCGGTAGCACAGTACCAGGTCGCCTGGAACGTATGGTGCGCCGCTGACGTGCTAGTCAAAGTAGGCCTTCTGTCGTATATAAGCTGACTCTAGGTGAGGTCGCGCTAGGTTGTGCGTGGTCCTCAAGGTTTCCTGCAACTCTAGGACAGAAGCATCTGGCTGATAGTCGTCGCAGGTTGGGAGCGGAAGCTGAGAGTCCGACGGTAACCGGAAACGACGCCCGGTTAGCATGAAGAAGGGGGCGTAGCCAGTCGAGGTGTGGACCGCGCATTTATATGCCATCATGGCGTATGGCAGCCGAACATCCCACTTGTGGGGGTTGTGGTCTTCCGCGAAAGCTTTCAACAGGTTAATAATGGTCCGGTTCGTTCGTTCCACCTGGCCGTTCCCTTCGGGGTGAGCCGGTGTAGTGTTGTTTTATGGATTTGAAGTAGGTCGCAGACATCGCGCACTAACCGGCTCTCGAAGTTCGCTCCGCAATCAGAGTGTAAGGAGATGGGGGTTCCGAAGCGGCAAATCCAAGTAGTGAGAAGAGTGGTAGTGACTGATGCAGCGCCCTGTCGTGGAAGGGTCACTGCCTCTGCCCACTTAGTGAAGTAGTCAACCATCACTAATATATAGCAGTTGCCAGTCAAGGTGATAGGTAGGGGTCCGATCACGTCGATGCCCACGCGTTCAAATGGGAACCCTGTCGCCATAGGTTGGAGGGGCGCAAGACGTTGGGGGTTGGGTCCTTTAAAGGTGGCACACGTGGGGCAGGTGTTACAAAAAATAGAGACTTCTTCTCTGAGGCGTGGCCACCAGAACCGTTGTCTCACTGCAGCCTCTGTTTTTAATGACCTACGTGGCCGAGTTCGCGGTGCAGATCGTCCAGAATAGGCAGGACTAGGCTGCCGGGGACAACCAATCGAGGTTGACAATGTGCGTCGTCCTTGAAGAAAAGTAGGTCATTTTCCATTAGTAGGTGGGCCCAGTGACTTCGTATGATGCGCGCAGAATCAGATGAACCACGCGGTTCAGCGTCGGCCGGGCGATGTCTCCCGTTGAGCTGGTGGTCATAAACTATGGCTGTATCGGGATCTGTGCTTTGAGCGATAGCCCAATGATGGCGGGTTGACTCACTGATTGTAAGAGCGGTTAAGAAATGGAAATCCCCAGTTGGCAGCTCGACACCTGTGTCGGCGGGGCGGCGAGACATAGCATCCGCGTTGGCGTGTTTCTTCCCCGGACGGAACTGAAAACTAAAACCGAACTGTTGCAGTATCTCTTGCCATCGCGCAACCTGACCTTCGGCGTCCTTAATCTTCTGCAGCCACTGTAAGGCCTTATGGTCTGAAAGGATGATGAAGTAGCGACCAATCAGAAACGGTTTGAACTGCGTCACGAAGGTAATTAGTGCGAGTAGTTCCCTACGATAGGTACAATAATTTCGTTGTGGCTTTGGTAGGGTTTTACTAGCGAAGCACAAAGGTCTTTCGGTTCCTGTCTCGTCGCACTGGGATAGAACACCGCCTATGGCAAACCCATTGGCGTCAGTATCGAGGATAAATGGGGAAGCGTCGAGTTGCGTGTTGGGTAACATCAAAAAAGGAGTGGTAGTAAGCCGTGTTTTAAACTCATCAAATGCGGTCTGACATTCCTCTGTCCACTTAAATGTTCGTTCTTTCTCAGTGAGGCGGTGCAAGGGGCGTGCTATGTCTGCAAAATGAAGAATGAAACGTCGATAATAGGAGACTAGGCCGATAAAACCCCTAACCTCGGTTGCCGTCGTTGGAATGGGCCACGTTTTGATGGCATCTATTTTATCTGAGGAAGCGTGTATGCCCGCCGTGCCAACCTCATGTCCGAGGAAGGTCACTTTGTTACGTAGGAACATGCACTTTTGGGGGTTTAAACGAAGTCCAGCGTCGCAAAGTGCAATAAGAACGGCTCTCAGATTCTCACTATGTTGACTGGTGAACTTCCCAAAGACGATGACGTCGTCTAGGTAAAGCAAACAGCGGCTGGGGTATAAGTGCGCTAATAACGATTGTATTAGACGTTGGAATGTTGCGGTGGCATTACAAAGGCCGAAGGGCATAGTTTCGAACTCAAAAAGACCTTGCGGAAAGATGAAGGCTGTTTTCGGTCTGTCTTTGGGTTCAACCTTGACCTGCCAGTAGCCTGACTTGAGATCGAGTGTGGAGAACCACCGTGCCCCCGCAAGTGCATCTCGAGTAACATCAATTCGAGAAAGTGGAAAAGAGTCTCGAGTTGTGACAGCAATAAGACGGCGATAATCGATACAAAAGCGCAGTTTCCCGGCCTTTTTCGGCACCAGGGTCACTGGAGATGCCCAGGGTGAGCGCGAAGGGCGTATCACGCCTGAATCAAGCATCACCTGTATCATTTCGTTCCCATCCATCTGAAAATGTGGCGGTATCCGTCGTGGGGGCTGCCACACGGGTTTTGCGGAGCCCGTGTTGATAGCGTGTCTTACAAGTGTTGAACGCCCCAAAGAGCGTTCGTCCCACGCAAAAACATCCTCAAAGGTTTCCAGCAGGGATTTCAGACCCATGCGGTCCTGTTTGTCGAGTTCAGCATGCTCCGGTAAGATGCTGTCTAGGTTAGTGGGTGGTAGTGCGACCGCAGCGGCAATCGCAGCACAGATTTCGTCTTCCTGGGACGCCAAATTGGCATGGCCGGACGGGCTCACGAATATCCAGATGACAATTAAACTGGACAATAAAATCGACACCTAGTAAAATATCCCACGTAACGTTTGGGCTAACAACAAATGTGTGTTCTTTAGTCCTAGTAGGGAACAATAACGGCAAAATAATTAGACCGATTGTGGCCATTCGATCTCCGTTTGCTGTCAGCAGGTTAGGTAGTCTTTTGGGTTTAAAAATACTATCCATGCGAACACGTATAAGTACATCAGATCGAATTAAAGAAACTGTAGCTCCAGTATCAACTAGAGCCCTGACAGGGCGGTTATCAACGTGCACCAAGGTAAAGAATGGTAATGTATTATGCGACGTTGAAGAGCATATAGGAACAGACAGGGTACCGAAATCGGCTTCATCCGGACGGTGTGCTGACGTCGCATGTGGCGGGCGATTCCAAAGACTCTTAAGAGACTGGAGCGTAGTGTTGTTGTCTGCCATAGAGAAACCACCTGAGCGGCGGCCTTGCCCAGGTCGACGATAGCCGGGGGAAAAGGTTGAGCTTCCAGAAGAGCGATGGTAAACAGGTCCTGGGGAGTTCGGATCTAACAACCGAGTGGCTCTCTGAATGGCACTCTCGAGGTCACCCGAGGGGTTCAGACGTAATGAATACGCCACCTCGTCGGAGTCCAGGCCGCATTTGAAATGATAAAGGACGACCTGGTCTCTGTCAGCTGCCGACAAGGACGGATAAGCGTCAGAGGCCAGGTGTTTCCCTGAAACGACGGCGACGGTGTATGAGTCTGTGAATAGCATTTTCGATGGCCAACCGCGGCGGAAACAGGCGCTGGAGTTGATCACACAAGGCGTCAAAAGGAGTTGAAGCGGACAGCTCGGCGTCGAGGGCCTTATCCACTTGAGCATCGCCCAAATATTTAAAAACTAAGCGAGAGCCTTTGTCTTGCGCACCTCTTTCGTGTGAAAGCGGAACCGCCGTAACCAACTACGAAAATCGATCCGTCTGTCAAAAGGCCGAAAGGAATTGGGAATGGAGTCAGGGGTAGTCGTAGACGACGAGGAAGGGGTAGCCGGGTCCGTCATAGTCGCTGCCACCAATTTAATACTCGGGCCACTCGGGGTATGGTCTTGTCTTCTTCTCCTACTAGGCGACAGTCCGTATAGGCTTCCTTGGTGCTCCTACCTGGTCGAGAGTCTCCTCGGCGGGAACCCTGAAAATTAGCGCGAATTGAGTTCATCATCTGCAAGAGCAAGCGTACGAAGAAAGAAAAGGTTGAGGATGGAAAAGGCTTATTAAAAGGTATATATCAGCTGAGGTAATTAATCCTGTTCCGTTCTCTCGCCGTCTTCTTCTTTACGGGCGGTCCCTCGACTAGCCCCCTTACTCTCTTCCACGGCGGTCACTAAAAAAGGCACGTTCGGAACACAAATCAGTCAAAACGGTACAGGAAAGTCATGGCCAGGAAACATTAAAGCAACAAGGTCAGTACGTCCTTCTACAGAGTCGGTGGTTAGAGGAACGTCTTTGAGTAGGAGACCACTAACAGACTCGTCACCAGGACAACCGACTCGCTGTTGCTCAGCCGCCATGGCACAAAGAGCTTACCCGTGTGTGAGTTGGAGAGAAGACATTGAGGGTCTGGAGAGCATATCAGCCACCTCATTCTTTGTGCCATCAATGTGGCGGATGTCGGTGGTGAATTGGGAGCTGTAGTCCAGGTGGGCGATTTCCCTCGGATTGTACTTGTCGGAGTGGGAGCGAAGTGCAAAAGTCAACGGTTTGTGATCCGTGACGACAGTGAAGTCCCGACCTTCAAGGAAGTGCCGGAAATGCTTCACAGCCAGGTAAATGGCAAGTAGTTCACGGCCAAAGGTACTGTAACGTGTCTTATCCAGTAAGAGCTTTTTGGAGAAAAAGGCAAGTGGTTAAGTCGAACCAGCAAGGTGTTACTGAAGGACTGCACCTACGGCTACAGTCGAGGCATCTACCATCAGAGACAGTTGAGTTTCGGGAGCGGGATGCGTGTGTAAGGTGGCATCGGCAAGCGAATTCTTGATTCTCTCAAAAGCTGTCAGTGCTACACCAGTCAGATCGAGGGGACCTTTGGGACCAGAAAGCATGTTGGTGAGCGGCAGCATGAGGTCAGCACAGTTCGGTAGGAACCGACGGTAAAAAATGACCATGCCGAGGAATCGCTGTAACTGACGCTTGGAAGTTGGAGGAGGAAAATTACGAACTGCTTCAACCTTGGAGGGGAGGGGCCGCAAAACTTCAGAGTCAAACTGATGACCAAGGAACTCGAGCGAAGGCACACCCAACACGCACTTGGAGGGGTTGATGACAACACCAAACTTTTCAAGACGGTCAAACACCAAGGCAAGATGCTCTTTGTGTTCTTCCTCATTCCGGCTGGCTACTAAGAGGTCATCAGTGTAGGCGTACACAAAGGGTAGGCCAAGTAAGACATGGTCAATGAACCTCTGGAACGTTTGGGCGGCATTACGAAGACCAAACGGCATGCGTACGAACTCTGAGAGACCGAAGGGTGTGCTGACGGCGGTTTTAGGGATGTCCTCGGGGGCGACTGGAATCTGATGAAAAGCACGCATCAGATCAATCTTCGAGAAAACCGCTTTGCCGAAAAGGGCTCCAGCAAAGTCCTGAAGATGAGGCACGGGGTACCGATCAGGAATGGTAGCGCTGTTGAGGGCACGATAGTCGCCACAGGGTCGCCAGTCGCCTGATGTCACCTTGGGCACCATGTGCAGTGGGGACGCCCAAGGGCTTTCGGACGGTCGGATTATTCCCAGTTGCAGCATGTGTTCAAACTCCGTCTTTGCGGCCTTAAAACGCTCCGGTGCTAGTCGTCTCGGTCGAGCAAACACGGGAGGACCTGAGGTGCGGATATGGTGCACAACCTCATGTTGAACCTCACCACTGCGAAACTGGGGGTTAATTATGTTGGGGTGACTAAGAAGCAGTTGCCGAAAGGGACTAGTAATATCCGTATCCAAGACAGATAAGTTAGTGGGGGTTGTAAAGGGAGTTAGTCCACGAACAAACAGACAGGTTGTGCGGTCGAGGAGACGGGCACGTCGAAGTCAACAAGGAGATCTAACTCGGCAAGAAAGTCCGAGCCGAGGATTGCATGAGGGACATCAGCAATCACAAAGATCCAGGTGAATGACCGACGAAGGCCAATGTTCAGGGTGAGGGACAGACTGCCAAAAGTGGGAATGGGGGAAGAGTTAGCAGCTTGAAGATGTAGACCAGGGCTAGGGAAACGACGATCAACTGCAGTTGGAAGAACAACACTGATTTGAGCTCCAGTGTCCACCAGGAAACGTCTGCGAGTCGCAGTGTCGCAAACATAGAAGGTGCGACCAGAGCCGGAAGAGCCAGAGAAAACGGTCGCATCTATTCTCTGGCTAACTGGTTTCTCTACTTCGGCTTAAAGGAGCAAGGTGAGGAACAGCGACGGGCCTTTACGCCGAAATTAGTGTGGTACCAGCAAGTATCAGCAGTCCGAGATCGCGAACGAGAACGACGACGGCTGCGTGAGCGACTGGACGTAAGGCGGGCGGTCTGTATTTTAAGGGAGGCCATCTCATCCGCCATGGCCGACACCTGTTTCACAAAATTTTCATTCACTGACGATGAAGATGAGGAGATCTGGGCAACGGAAGGTGACTGGAACCGCTGCACCTCTATCATTCGATCCGCCATCTCCGCCAGCTGTGATATCGTAAGATCCTGAGAACCAGATGCCAGAATCGTTTGAACATCTGCTGGCAGACGCTCTAGGAACATCTCCTTGACAAATTTATCGTCAACTTGCATGTCTCCAAGGAGAGATCGCATTCGACGTAGAAGCTCTGAAGGCTTCCGGTCACCCAGTGACTCCTCCTTAATTAACTGGTGATACCTCTGTCGGTCAGACACAGAATTAAGTCGGAGGATTTCTGCCTTTAACGTGGAGTAGGGAGCATCTGCAGGAGGATTAGCTAGCAAGGACTGAACTTGAGAAATGACACTAGCGGAGAGGACCTCTACAAGTTTGTGGTATTTTGCTAGCTCCTTGGTAACGTTGGCAGAATAAAAGGCTGATTCTATGCGGATGAAGTAAAGTTCTGGAGCGTGTTGCCAGAATTCAGGCAAGGGAAAATTGATTGCATGAAGGGATTGGGTGGGGGCATCAAGTTGTTGATCGGAGTGACACATAATAAGACAGAGATGGTAAAAAGATCAGCATTCGTGAGAAAGTAAATGTAAATGTAATAGATATTCACAAACAAATAGTACGTTAAATGTTATTCAGTATGACATAGAAAGGTATAAAGTCTGCGTAAACGTCGAGAGTCACCAATGTCGTAAAGTTTAATGCTCTCACGAACTAACGAGCTGTATCTCACGAGCCCTAAGCCTTAAAGGCAGCAAGTAAATCGGAGCAGTGAATAATATAGAGATTTTTGAACGATAAGAGAACTGACAACAGAATACCACAGCAGAGCACGCTAGCAAGGCGGGTTCTGCAGGTTTGTCGTTTCTCGTCACATTCAAACAAGCAATGCGGTCAAAGAAAAAGGGGCTAAATTGTCAAAGGTAAATTAGTCAGGTACCTTACCACACACACACACAAACACACACACACACACACACACCACAGTTCGACCATCGGTTTAGATTATGTCCACCGTATGACCCACAGCTGAAGCTGCAACGGTGGGAGCAGGGACGGTGACTTGCGCAGGGGTTTATAGTGCCGGTAGACTTGCGCTGCATCTACCTACAATCTCTCCTCCTCCCCCGCCTGGGCCCGGTGTCAAGACAGAGTCATGAAGACCGGGGAGGCCGCAGGTGGATTGCTCGGACGGATCCTCGCCTAGGCGTTCCACCACACCCCCTGGTCCACACAAAAAATGACCAAGATTTCAACCAACACAACAGAGATTTGGAGGCTCGCACGGCCGATGCCGCACCTAGACGTGCCGACGACGCCTGGCTCGGATCCCACACTGTAGTAGGAGTGCCATAAAGGCCACATTAAAAAGGAGCCATTGCAGCCTGACTCTCTGACCGCCTCCAGTGAAGGAAGACGTCCAAGGTACCGCGTCAGTTGGCAACCTTTCAAGCCACGGCTTTTAGCGCACCATGATAGCTTCAAGCGCGTCAGATTGATTATAGTGAGGAGAAAGTGCGCTGAGTCGTCGACCTCACTCTCCCTTCCCATCCCCACACCCCAGCCACTGTCCGAGCCGGTCAGCAGAATGGAGTGGGGAATGGGCGCGGTGGCTGACACGGTCGACTGACCATGACTGCGCGCGCCACAGCACGACCTGGCCCCCCATACACACACAAACTCCAGAATTTCACACAACGGGGGTTGAACGGCGTGGCTCTCACTTGCGTGAGAGGGCCGTGGATGGTAGTGTTTTAGCCGGTCCCCAGCCCACCAGTCCGCCACTTTACACAACTCACACACGCACGACGTGACGAACTGCATGAACCGAGAACGGGCGTCAATCAGCAACCTTCCTATCCACGACATTTGACGTGTCGGGATAGCCTCGGACTAAAGTCACCCGTGCAGCCGAGGCCGCATGGGGACCGAGTCGAGATGCACACTTCCCACTTGCGTGGAAGGTGGAAATTGGTGCATGCGGTGGGTGAGTGTTGATGCTTGGTATTTGTGGGGGAGGAGGGTATGGAGTGTGTGAATGTGTGGTGTAACCGGCGGTTGTCTACCGCAGGTCGTCGTGGATGCGCATGTGGCCGAATAGACCCATGCGATGCGTGAACGTGCGAGGACAGTGTGGGCAGTTGAGTCGAGCTTGGTGGGTATAGGTTGGTGCTCCAGGCACTGGTTCTCCAGTCTCTGTGCGATGGATTCGCAAGTGACCGACCAGGCCGATGCGTGAGGTGAATGTGCGTGAACAGTTTGGGCGGGTGAATTCGGCGGTGTCAGTGTCAGCCACAGAGAAGGCGTTGGTAGTGGTGCAGACTAATGGTGCGAGGGTGGTGCTGAGCATGATGGGCGTGATTGATGTATCGGAATTGTGGTCAATTCTGCTCCCGTGGATGCGCATGTATCCGAATAGGCCCATGCGATGCGTGAAGGTGCGAGGGCATTGTGGGCAATGCAGGCGAGTGCAGCGGGTGTAGTTGACGCACCAGGCACTGGCTCGACAGTCTCTGTGCGATGGATATGCAAGTGACCGACCAGGCCGATGCGTGAGGTGAAGGTGCGATCGCAGTGAGGGCTGGTGTAGTCCTGATCCTCATCGCTGGATTCGGAGGTAGTGGGGGTGGTGTCGGTTGTTGTGTAGGGGTTGATGTGCGAGACGGCCGCCTGAGCGGCCGCCGCTGGGGCAGTGGGGGAGGAGGAGGAGGAGGAGGAGGAGGAGGAGGAGGAGGAGGAGGGTGGTAGTGGTGGTTCGGAAGAGTTGTCAGAGTTAGTTGGCGGCGAAGAGTATGAGGAAGAGGCGGGCGGGTGGACGATGGTTGGGGCAGTCCGAGAGGTGCAGTTGATCCGAATTTGTCCAACAAGTCCGATTCGAGCCCGGAATGTCCGTTGACATCGAGGACACGTTGGAAGCGGTTTTGCGGCGGCGTTGCGTACTGGGCGAAGTTGTGATTTTCGGGCTTCGCGTTTCACTTTGGCAGCAGCCATGCAGTTGGCTTCGTAGATCGCTGCGCCTGTCTTCACTGTCCTCCTCCAGGTCGGTCGATCGAGTGCGAGCTCTTCCCAGTTGGTCGGGTTGATTTGCAGGCGCTTCAGGGAGGACTTCAGGGTATACTTGTAACGGCGAATTTGGCCTCCTTGACGGCGAGAACCCGTTGCGACGTCTCCGTAGAAGAGTCGTTTGGGTAGTCGCTCGTCGACCATGCGCACCAGGCAGCCGCTCTAGCGCAACTGCATTTGCCTCAGCATGAAGTAGATGCTGAGCATTCCCGTACGGCAGACTTGCGAAGCATCTACCTACACTCTCTCCTCCTCCCCCGTCTGAGTCCGGTGTCAAGACATAGTCAAGACGACCGGAGACGGGGGAGGCCGTAGATGGATGGCTTGGACGGATGCTCGCCTTGACGCTCCACTCCGCACACCCTGGTACACACAGAAATGACCAGGATTTGGACCACAAAACAATGAGGTGATGACAGTGGTCCAGTTGTGCGACTACTATGTTGGCATTTGTTATCGCGCAGAGATAACGCCTGCCAGAGTCCGATGTGGCCCCCGTGTTGGTCCAGCGCATCTAACACGTGGCCCGTTTTGAGGGCACAACACACACACACACACACACACACACACACACACACACACAACTCGAGCTCGACTCCAATCTGCACGCATCAAAGTCCACACAACCACGGGCCTCCCCCCACCCGCCTACCGCACAAGATCAGGCGATGGTTTTGCTAGGCGACGCTCACTGACTGGCGTGAGGCTGTTCGCGACTGACACTTGCTTTGTGAATGGTGCGTGGAGCCTTAATGCAATGAGAGCAACATTATTTATGACGCCATACAGAGCTGCAGGTTTGCGCTTCACTGTAAAGCCGCGCCTGAAGGTATAGGCGCTGTGTGCTCTACAACTGCTTTCCCGATAAAAACTGACAGGTCGTACATTTTCGAGTGCATTGTACTGAGGGAAAACTATACTCGATTTCGAGCCTTCTTTATCAGAATACATCAAACTTACAGCGTTGCCGCTGACTGTAACGGCGAATCTGTCCTCTTTGACGGCGAGAACCCGTCGCGACGTCTCCGTAGAAGAGTCGTTTGGGTAGTCGCTCGTCGTCCATGCGCACCAGGTGGCCGCTCCAGCGCAGCTGCATTTGTTTCAGTATGGCTTAGATGCTGAGGATTCCCGTCCGTTCCAGCACATCAGTGTCGGGGATTCGATACTGCCAGTTCAGCCTCAGGATGCGACGAAGACAAGTGAGGTGGAAGTGGTTCATTCAGCGTGCCTGCTTTGCGTACACCGTCCACGTCTCTGCTCCGTACAGTAACATCGGCAGGATGACGGCCTTGTACATCTTCAGCTTCGTGCTAAGTTGAAGACCATGGCGATTCCAAATTGTGCTTTGGAGGCGACCGAAGGCTTGACTGGTTTTCAAGACCCTGTTGGCGACTTCGTCATCGATCTTGGTGTTCCGGGAGAGAGTACTGCCCAGGTTCGGGAAGTTCTCCACCACTTGCAGTTGGGTCCCATTCACGCTGATTTGCGGCGACGCGTTGGGGGCTCTGGCTGAGTTGGGTGGCGGTTGGTGCATCACCACCGTCTTCTGCGTGTTAATGACCAGACCGAAGTTCTCGCATCCGGCGGAGAACAGGCCCACGCTGCGTTGCATCTCCTCTTCCGAGGTGGTGTTCAGGGCGCAGTCGTCGGCGAAGAGGAGTTCGTGCACGGTAGTTGTGGATACGCGCGATTGGAAGTTCATGCGCCGTTGATTCAGAAGATGGCCGTCCGTCCTGTAGGCGATGCGGATCCCGGGGCATTCGTCGCGGTAGGTGTCCATCAGCATGGCAGAGAATATAAGACTGAAGAGGTTTGGCGCCAGCACGCATCCCTGCTTCACTCCGTTGGTCACTGCGAATGCCTCTGAGACAGCAACGTTGTCCGTGACTCGCGCCATCATGCAGTTGTGCAGCTGACGCACCATCTATGTGAATCGCTCCGGACAGCCGAATTTCTGCATGATCTTCCACAGTCCTTCACGATTCACCGTGTCGAAGGCTTTCGTCAGGTCCACGAAGGTAGAGTGCAGGTGAGTCCGCATCTCCTGACACTTCTCCTGAAGATGACGGGCGTCGAAGATCATATCCGTGGTCCCACGATGACGACGGAAGCCGCATTGGCTTTCCGGCAGAAGGCCCTGTTCCAGATGGTTATTGAGGCGGTTGAGGGAAATCTATACTTCATTTCGAGCCTTCTTTATCAGAATACATCAAACCCACAGCGTTACAGCTGACTGTTTCGTGCATCAAAATATTTAGCTAAAAACATATGTTGTATGTGGCTCCTGATGTGTCTAGCTTTGTCTGATAAATCTACCAATGAACCATTCACATTTATCCGACATAGTCTTGACTGGCGGTATCTGGTTTAGGCATCTAATTACCCTGTGCTGTCATACAGCATTCGATCAAAATGGCATATTTGATTCGTTTTAATGCTCAGGGCTTGAATGAATTACGCAGGTACATGTGTCTACATGTACACTGTCACCTGCAAGCAGCCTTTAAATACCTTCAAAAGAGCACACACTACAAACTATGCCAACTGCCGATTTTGTTGTTTTTAGTTTCTTCCGGTTTATCTACCAATGAAAAGTTTCTATGTATCTATCATCGACGTAACTGGCAGTATCTTGTTTAGCCATCTGAGTACTTGGTCGCGTTAAACACCATTTAATTGAAACCGCGAATTCGATTTGTGTTAATCTGCAATACTTGAATGGACTGTGAATGCATCCGTGTACATGCTGACTGTCTACCACGTGTATATTTAATAGTACAAGTTTTCTTCTCCAAATGCCCTACAGCCCTACGAATCAAGTATTGCAGTTGACTGGGGTGCACATTTCCGTTTCGGACTACTGGATAATTCTGAATGCCAGACTGTTTCTTTATTAAAACAATGCAGGATGGTAATAAAAACAATCTGTTTATTTAATGCACATTCCGCTAGGGCTAATTTTACTATAGGTAAATCCATTCCTTCCGGAGCACGTCGAATACATCGTGGACCGGCTTGCAGGCAATTAACTGTAAATAACTGTGCTTAATTTAAAATGTAATTTGTGCGAATATGTCAGCGTGCACAATTGAATAAACGAAACCACTATGTATGGTAGAGACTCGTATTGCACCCGAACATTCAGCGAATTCGAAATTGACTGGACATCTTGCATCTACTTCCGGGCATGTTCGGTGGAACACTCATGCAGATTGTCGAATCCGTACTAATTTAACTGTGGACTGGCGTGTTCCAATGTTGATCACAACCACAACGCAGTTGTTTCACGTTGAACGTAAAAAAGACTTCTGACTGAAAATTGCCGATATTTACAATGACTGATTAATCATGCCTTGCTTTTCGGAAGAAATCAAGTATGCCGTTTCTCTTAGGAGCGACTTCGAAAAACGAACCGACTTAATTTTCGGAATTGGAGCTTAAAATTAACGATGTTATTTTACTGTGAGGAAAAGCATTCGATAACCAAAGCGAAAGTAGTGTTCACTTGAGGATTCCAGTTCATTTTCGAACAAGGACAGCAACAGATTGAAGTTGTGCACGCACAGATGGTGAAATATGCATAGTCTGCACACAGATATTCTTAATAATAACGTCCGCATTTCTGCAGATATTCACAATTCGCCTCATGATGTCTCGAGTAGATACGTACAAATTGTGACTGACGGCGATCTACCCGTGTTTTGAGTAATAACACAGGTATTTGTTTTTATAATCGATTGGCACTTCAGACATCGTTAACTGGCATTTTTGATCAAAATGTGGATTTTCAGGGAGGAAACAAGTCTCCGTATGTCTGAAAGTCGGACCCAATGTTGACATTTCCAAAGTGCACTTTACATTCTTTCGATGTTTTTTTCACAAAAATGGCAGGTCATGTTTATAAGTCCCAGGAATCCCTGGCATCTGGTAATCAGAATATCTCCACTATGTTTAATTCTTCTCTACCATCATATCCGTTGGCGACAATTATTTGTCCCTAAAGCCATGCATTACTTCGGAAAATGAGCATCTACCTTGTAAAAAATAACTGTTCCACAGGTTTCATCCCTCGCAAGGATAAAGACATCATTAATCGGTCACCTTATGTGTTGGGCACCGCACACTCATTCGACGTTTTCAGAAGAGATGACACAACCGGTTACTTTGCAAGTCGTTTATTTCTTAACATGCGGGCCATAGAATGGACATCAAAAAACGCAGAAGTTTACATGTTAATGCCAGCAGCTCCACCGATAAATGCGAGCGACTCCAGGGGCTTCTTGGACGACCAGGTCCAAGATGTCAAGTCGTTGCTGACATCAACTGATTCATCTGGAGCTGTGAGAGTCTCCACCGTGTTTCGTGATCTGAACAAAAAGCCTGCAAAAATTGCACAATTCTAGTTATAATCTATTTCTTTAAATAAATGAGTAGAGAAATTAGAAGACGATTTACACAACACAGCCAGTAGAACTCTGTTTCAAAAAATCTCCGAGTAGACAAATTAAGCAATATGCCGAGCATCTACTGGAGAGGCTTTAACTATTCTGTCGCACAATTCTAGTAAAGGAAGTCGGTACGCCATGCAAAGTCACATCTTCACATTGTTGCTATCATACGGATGTCTTTATCCTCCTCATAAAATGGAATACGTAGAAAAGGTCATGGAATGGCATGCAAAGTAGAGAGAGAGAGAGAGAGTAGGACTGTGGAGAAGGAATGCAGTTACATTGTTGCGTCAGTGTAGAACAAAGGAGGAGCAGGAGGAGACATCATTACCGAAAGCATATACGGCGTCGGTGGAGGGGACCAGCGTGAATGACCAGCGGGTTTCCTTCATGCCGGCCAGCACTGTCCATTGGCCCTGGGGACACCTGGCGTCCGGTGGTGAGAACATCTCCACCACGTCCAGATCTTTCTCACCATCATATCCCCCGGCGACAATGATTTTGCCCCGAAAGTGGGTGGCTGCCAGCGCCGATCGTGCAGTTCTCATGGGTGCGGCTGGCTGCCAGAAGTCCTCCGTGCTGGCTGAGGCCGCGCTCTCTAGCCAGTCTGCTTGCAAATGACAGAACTCCATGGAAGGCAGCCAGCAGGAGTCATTCCGACCGCCAAAAACGAAGACTCGGTTGTCGCCCGACAGGGAGGCTGCAGCTGTGGCGCTCCTCTTCTCTCGCATATCGGGCAGTTTTAACCACCTGTAGTGGGAACGGCAAGGAGACGAGTGAGAAGGCAAAACAGGAGACTTTTGTAAGATAAAAGGGCAACAAAGAGACGCTAGGACGAGTGTGATCTCACCTCTCCTGACTGACGTCGTAGACTTCACAAGAGGAAAGGCGTCCATGGTCACTGCGTCCACCGAAAATTCCGATAAGCGCCTTCCCTCCGGCTTCCCTTACGACAGCAGCTGCGTGGTACGAGCGTCCAATAGCGAGGGGCGGCCGTTTGCGCCAGCACTGTTCTCCCACCAGAAACTCCTCAACGCTCGGTGAGTTCTTCACTAGCTCAGTGTCTCCTCCAACCACGAATATGCTCTCTTCCGTGGGGTGGGGTAGAAAAAAATGTTGATAAAGTGCCTGTATGCGGTGGATGACAGGAGACTTTGAAGGATAAAATACAATGTAAGGTCTACTAAAACACAGACGTGCAGTTGACAGGGAGGAAATGCAACTACTGCAAAAAGAGGGGTAATATCATCGTCAGATGTGGATGGACTAGTCCCCCAGTTGAGGAGCCGCCAGTGACGGACCCAAACCATTCAAGGTGGAGACACGGATGGGTAAATTGAAGACGGAAAAAACAGAAGCGTCGGGACATGCCAGGTTCAGTTACGTCAGCTCTCCTGTTTGCTAATTTTGATGGAATTCCACGGGAGCAAGTAGACAACGCCAAGACCTCAAAACCCCCTATTATTTCTGCGTGTGTGTGTGTGTGTGTGTGTGTTGAAATTCTGCCAAAACAGGCACCAAATGGTCAAATTCGAGAAAGAGGAAAACAAGGCAGGTGCGCAGAAGAGGGGGAGCGTAACTGTTAGGCAACTCACCACCCACGACACTGCAGGAGGCGTATTCATGCTTCTCCATGTCAGCAACCCTTTCTTCATTTTCCAGCCGCGAATTGAGACGCAGAACAGACCACCTGTCCTGACCTTTGCCCCTTCCAA